TGCAATTGCTCACCACCCGCCGACCGATGCCCAGCCAGTCCGAGTAGCGATCGCTGTCCCCCAGCCAACTCCCTGCAGCTTATATACCAAGCATGATGTCATATGGCATGGAATATCCCTTTGGTCAGTTTGGATCAACTATCCTGGCTGTGGCCCCTCCCAGCTTCTTGCTGGCAGGACATGAGAAGCTGCAAAGTCCTTGACTAGTACAAGCACTATTTAGCAACAACATCAGTGTGTTATCAGCATTATTCTCATCGTAAATCCTACTAGGAAGAAAATTAACTCTATCCCAGCTGAAACCAGGACACCACTAAATGTATTGGAGCAGCTAACGTAAAAAGCCAGGTTGTTTGAAGGTCCATGAAATGAAATTTGTTCTTTGCAGCTGCTGGTCCCTGCCTGTGCAGCCCAGAGGGGCTCAGAGATCCCTGTGCTCAGTCAGCCCTGTGGGCTGCACAGGCTCCCCAAGCCCTGGGCACAACCACTTCTGCCAGCACTGCCCTGCTGGGGTCCTTTTGCAGTGTGCAGGGAACAAGAGGGACAAAGCTGCCCTGCCATTTCTCAGTGGCCCCCTGGCCATGAGCAGTCAGGTGGGAAACAACACAGAGATCTCTCTTGACATCACCTTCAGTAATGCAGGAGCTTTGGAAAGAGCCCTTCCTGCAGGTCTCAGGCTGGGCAGGTGGGGTGACTGGCCCCTCTGTTTCCATGGGCACTATTTCTGAGACACACCAGGGACAAGCTTTTAAATCATGGGGGTCAGTTCAGAACAGCTCTGGGGTGCTGGAGGTGGGTGTCAGACACCTGCCCCTTGTTCCCCTCCAGTTCATCGCAGACCACACCAGAATTTAGGCCAGAGCAAGAGTGGAGGCCAGAGACTTCTGGGCTCAATCTCCAGGGAGCAGAGCAGATCTGTGCCCTGTAGGGTTGGATATGCTCTGTATCTGTAGTGTACAGCCTTGCATGAAGAGTCCTGCGGTTTTCAGCTGCTCTGGAAGCAGAGGAGATGCCACAGGCAGGTGGCTGTGACCCATTGGCACCCAAAATGGGTACTGGATATGAGCTTTTCATGGCCCACCCCAGCTGGTGGGACCCTGCCGTGTTAGCTTGCAGGTTGCTCTCTTGTCAGTAATGCTGGAGCACTGCTGGGGCAGTCGAGCTTAGCAGCGACTGACACCCCCTTACCATCGCTGTCCCTGCACAAGCGCAGGGCTGGCAGCCGATGTGCCCAAGTGTCG